TTAACACATATATATGGAATCTAGAAAAGTGGTACTGATGAACCTAGCAGAGAACGGACTTGTGGGCATAGTGGGGGAATGTGAGGGTGGGACGGATTGAGAAAGTAGCATTGACATATATACACTATCCTATGTAAAAGAGATAATTAGTGGGAAGTAGCCGTATAACAGGAGAAGGCAATGGCACCCGACTCCAGTACTCTTGCCTGGAAAATCCCATGGATAGAGGAGCCTGGTAGGCTGCGGTCCATGGGGTCGCAAAGAGTCGGACACGACTGAGCGACTTCACTTTCACTTTTCACTTTCATGCATTGGAGAAGGAAATGGCAACCCACTGCAGTGTTCTTGCCTGGAGAATCCCAGGGACCGGGGAACCTGGTGGGCTGCTGTTGGGGTCCTTTAATGGACCGGAACCTGGTGGTACGGAGTCTACGATAAGAAAGTAAAAGAGAGAAAGAGAGAGAGAGAGAGAGAGAAAAAAAAAGAGACTCGGGGACCTAAGCTCTGATGGAGCAAAGGTGCTTTCATGATTTCTCTATGAGTATATATAGGCTGTGGTACAAGAAACTTCTTTCTGGAATGATAGAGATCAGAAAACCGAACGAACAGCAACTGTTACCAAGGGAACAAGGAATAATGTTAGTCACAAGGTCAGGAGACAATCCATATCTCGAGAAAGGGGAACGAGACTAAGCAGTTTTGTCCTAAAGAGAATGTTTACTAAAGGAGACCCAAGCCTGCCTCACACAATGACCTCGGTCCTTGGGAGCAGCGTGCTGTTCCGCTTGAAGAGGGACAGAGGACTCATGAGAGACAGCACGTAGGAATCCTCCCGTCAACATTCCCCGACAGGCGGCCATCTATGGGGTCGCGCAGAGTCGGACACGACTGAAGCGACGTAGCAGCAGCAGCAGTATGTACAGGGATCCCAGTTGGAGCTCTATGATGACCTGGAGGGGTGGGACGGGTAGAGGCGAGGGAGGCTTACCAGGGAAGGGGTATATACAATTATGACTGATTCCTGTTGCTGCATGGCAGAAACCTAAACAACATTGTAAAGCAATTGCCTATCAGTTAAAAAGTAAAGATTCTGTTCCACTGAAAGAATACTTTGATTTTATAGACCTGTTGGTCATAATATAGCTTAGGTGGAAAGATGTGAAGGGGAAAATAAGATCACATTCATATTTCAGAAGGATAATCACAGAACTGATTGGGAATGGGGTGAGTAGCTTATGCCTTCATAAATCAGAAGATTCATAGGAAAGAATCAAACATGGTGTTCCTGAGTCCCAAAAGTCACGTGAAGAATTTCTGTGCACTGGCTGCACCCCAGGTTTGTTCTGGGAAGTCCTAAGGAACTCTTACTTCTAGTTCTTTCATTTCTTCTTTCCTTTCTTCCTTCCTCCCTTCATCTCTCTTTCTTCCTTTCTTTCCCCTTCCTTCCTTCTTTCCTTTCTCCCCCAACCCCTACTTTCTGCTGGGGCACTAGAATACTAAGAACATGACTGAGTAAGCATGCCAGGGAGAGGCAGGGGCAGCAGTTATAGAATGAACATGTCCATGAGTGATCTCTCAACTCACATAAAGAAGTACATAAGTTTTAGGAAAAACATCTTATTCAGTATGGTTTGGAACTTCTCCATCCTTTAGGACTAAGTCTCATTTCTTCTTCCATACCCTTCCCTAGGGTGACTGCCTTACACCTGGTTCATTGCTTTACTTGATGTCTTAGAAGATCTGTCTACCTCTGAAAATCTTTTCCCTCCAAATGCCCCTGTACTGGGAATAGCCTCTGATATTTTCATGTTGATATTTAGTGCTTGCTGTAATTTGATTCCACTATGCTTATTGGCTTCTATCCATCAGTACTTCCAATATATACCCTTTTTTCAAGCTAGTTGATTACTTTCAATTCTATTCAACAGCATTTATAGCTCAAAAAGCAAGGTACAAGGCACCATGTTGGCTGATGGTAGATGCAGAGATGAATGAAGCTAATACGTCTTGTGATCACCTCTTCATGATCATAAAGTCATGGGTCTTGCCTTTAAGTAATGAACAATACATAAGGAAACAAACAATTATCTATACAGTAAGGTAGAATGCAATGAGTTTTAGTGACAGAAAGACCATAGGGGTGGGGAAAGGTGTGCAAAAAGAACCGCAGTTAATTTGACCAGGGAAAGCATCATAGATAAGGTGATATTTGAGCTGGGTATTGAAGGCTGTATAAATGAACAAGGGATGGGGCCATACATTCCAGCTGAGCACTATGCCACACAGAGGCAAGGGACTGTGATCATGCATGGTGTATCTGGGGAGGTACCCAAAACCCATGACACAGATCCTGTTGTTTTCTTTCTCTATGGCTTCCTCACTTGGATGCCTTCTGTCTTCTTCATTCTCTGCCAAATCCCATCCACACCTTGAGGTCCAACTTCAGCTTCACTTCCTCTGTGAGGTCTCTTCTGATGTGTTAGGTCATGCCACTCCCTGTAGCATGTAGTTCAAGATTTAACTGTAGTGTTTGTGCTGTAGTTAGACCAAGTCAGACATCTTGTTCATCTTATACACTGGAGATCTTGAAGCTCCCAACACAGTGATAATGATAGTCATGGCTACATGAGTCTATGGACCCATTAATGGGGACTAACACCGTCATTCTGCCTAAAAGCAGCTCATTTCTGCTATTGAGACTGGGATTGTTCATAGTGGTTTAGGATTTAGCTGGTTATGCTTGTTAATACATGAGGGAAACAATTTTTCAAATGCTTACCTGAAAGTTCCACTTAGGGGAAGAGGGAGGGTCACTAACCATAGCTTGAACTCCACCACTCTCTGGGCTAACCTTAGTAACTTGGGTGGACACAGTTTCATGATGTATATCATCATCTCCCAAGTTCGCTCTGGGGAATGACTGCTCAATGTATTTTGTTTTGATGTTTGGGTTTCGCTAAAATGCCAGAAATATAGCTGAGTAGTTAGAAGAAGAACTAAAGAGCCTCTTGATGAAAGTGAAAGAGGAGAGTGAAAAAGTTGGCTTAAAGCTCAACATTCAGAAAACTAAGATCATGGCATCTGGTCCCATTACTTCATGGGAAATAGATGGGGAAACAGTGGCTGACTTAATTTTTTTAGGCTCCAAAATCACTGCAGATGGTGATTGCAGCCATGAAATTAAAAGACACTCCTTGGAAGGAAAGTTATGACCAACCTAGACAGCATATTAAAAAGCAGAGATATTACTTTGCCAACAAAGGTCCATCTAGTCAAGGCTATGGTTTTTCCAGTAGTCATGTATGGATGTGAGAATTGGACTATAAAGAAAGCTGAGCGCTGAAGAATTGATGCTTTTGAACCATGGTGTTGGAGAAGACTCTTGAGAGTCCCTTGGACTGCAAGGAGATCCAACCAGTCCATCCTAAAGATCAGTCCTGAGTGTTCATTGGAAAGACTGATATTGAAGCTGAAATTCCAATACTTCGGCCACCTGATGTGAAGAGCTGACTCATTTGAAAAGACCCTGATGCTGGGAAAGATTGAAGGCAAGAGGAGAAGGGGATGACAGAAGATGAGATAGTTGGATGACATCACCAACTCAGTGGAGATGAGTTTGAGTAAACTCTGGAAGTTGGTGATGGACAGGGAGGCCTGGTGTGCTGTGGCCTATGGGGTCATGAAGAGTCAGACATGACTGAGTGACTGAACTGAACTGAGTTCCTTTTGGAGAATGGTTTTATTGGAGATGCCTTCTTTTTCATGATGAGGCAGTTTGGAGTATATGGCGGTTGGTTTTGTAGAGAAACAGAACTATAGGAAATAGCTATAAAGGAATTGACTCATGTGATTACAGTGATTGAGAAATTCTGAGATCTGTAAGCAAGCTGAAGAGGTCTGAGTTGAAAGGCCTGAGAACCAGGAAAGCTGATGGTGGAAGTTCCAGTCCAAATGCAAGGCAGAAGACTAATGTCTCAACTCAAAGACAGTCAGGCAGTGAGAGAGAATAGATTCTCTCTTACTCTGCCTTTTTTCCTATTCAGATTTTCAATTGATTTGGTGATGCCCACCCACAGGGAGGGGAGGATTAATCTGCTTTACAAGGTCTATCAGTTCAAATGCTTATCTGATCCTTCACACTCACACCCTGAATAATGTTTAATCAAGTTGACACACAAAATGAACCATTACACAGGGATACAGAAGAAAAACTTAGAAAAAAATATGAGGTTTCTGAAGTGGAGTCAGAAGAAAAATGCCCCAGAAGTCTAGTCCCTCCAGAAAGAACGTGTTCCAACACTCCATTGGAAGAGTGTGTCTGCACAACTGAGACCCACATCTCTGACATCTTTCCATGCAACACAGTGATATAGGGTTGGGCTGGTCCAGCCAGGTACACTCTGGGCAAACGTTCCCAGGCAAAGGGACAGACAGCCTGAAATGCAGTCCACACTCTATACATCGAGCCATGCACTTGAGTGAGAGGCTTACCTGCCCAAGGTGCAGGGGGACTGGGTGAGGCCATGCACCAGGGCTTCTCCCATACATTGAGTGTGAACAGAGGCTCTTAAGTGGTGTGTCATGGCAGGTTACAGGTGTGTAAATGTTGATCCTCCCCATATGGGGCTGCTGGGAAGAGTCATCCCCTCCAGTCACATACAGCCTCCAGCCATGAGCAATCCTGATTGCTTATTCCATTGTATCATAAAAATTATTTTTTCCATGTGCTGCAGTGTGAAGAAGGATGGGAAGCACTGTTCCAAGGGATCTGCCTTGTTATTTGTTAGGAAGTGAGCCATCTTAGAAAGGGCATGATCCATTTGTCTATTTCAGTACAAGTTATGCCCAGCAACAGAGTGTCTCCTTCTTTGCTTACATGTTGGAATCTGGTGATCTGTAATCTCTGGGTAAGATCTGGACAGAGCAAGTTTAGGTCTGGGTCATCTGCCAGTACGTGTGGTTGCAGCTCAGTTTCCATGGGGAGAATTCCATCTGGGAGCCTAGATCACAATTTCATAGCTCGAAGTCCCAAGAGGTTTGCTGTCCTTACTGCTGGTTTTCTCCATCTGCACAAAAGGGAGAAGGGGGAAATGCTGACTTAAAGGCACTGTCTGGGAATTCCAGTCCCAAAGGGAGCTTTTAGAGAGACACCTTAGATTTCCCTGGTTCTGGGGTAATCTGGGGTAGCAGGATCTTGCCCTTTACTGAGTTCCTCATCTCTGTTCCAGTCACTCCATTTGGAAGCTCTCTTAACTTAGAAAAAACAGCAGATGGGAATGTGCGTATCTGCATTGATTTTGATTACAGGCTTGAAGCGACATTCAGGCTCATGTGATCTGCCTTCCTTGTTCCTAGTTAAGCCTTCATTTCTTCTTTACCCCATTAACTTCACCATGGTTTATATGTAGTGGTGAGTCGCTTTCACTGGTGTCATATGCAATAGTTACTTAGAATACTGCAGACAACTCTTACACTGGCTCATGGAGTCCTAGGTTTTAAATTACATACTAACTAAACTAGTAATTGCCAACCAACTTGTCTAGAGAGTTTACTATGAGATGTCTCAATCCAGGAGTCCCTGATTAACCCCTCAAACCTACTGCGTCCCAGTGTATCTCCCACTCTCCTAATCCTGGTGCAGACATGCTGGAGCCCTGCTTCTCACTTGCTTCTCCTTCCCCTTTCTTCCTCCTCCTCTTTCCTCACTCATTTTCTTCCTTTTCTTCTCTCTCCTTCCATCTTTGGTCCTTGAGGAAGTCAAAGTCCTCTGTCTTATTCTTCAGGGCACTTGGTTTATCTTGACATTCAAACTGACCTGTGCATTGAGTTCCCTTATGACCTTCTTACTTGTCCAGCTTACAGATGACTCATAGAACCAGCTTTTAATTCTTATTCATGAATTCATTTGCATTCCATTTTGACATCCCGATATTTCCTCCCACTCTTCACTTGTTATCATTATCATCCCTTTCCCCCCAGACAGCTGGGTTCAAATTTATCTTTCATGGTTAGCTTCCTGCCTATTAGCTCAGCTATTAGATAGAAACACTTCCAAAATATTTGATTCACCCAGAGACCCCAAAGCTGTCCTGACTGTGGTGGAAACAGGGATTTTCAGATAGTAACAACACCAAACCAGGTTCCCCAAACTGAAAGTCCTGTCAAAGGTCAGGACTTACCTTCCCTCTTTGCATATTTGAAAGGAGGATGCTGGGGCACAGGGAACATGAGTGCCACTAGAGCATAACAAATGCTTGTACAGGTGCCACACTGTGAAGGTCTGCTGAGGGGACCAGTGGGAACTGGGATTCAACCTGTGTTCTACTTGCCTATCTGTGCATCTGGTGTCGCCCTGTGTCTGCCTGGGGCATGGCAGACCTGCTTTCCAGTTTATACACTATGAGCTAGCAATGGCCCTGGATGTTATTAGAGACGAGTTTCCACACTGCAGTTAAGAGACCTAGGTGTTCCTTCATAGAAAGGCTGGGAAAAGCAATCAAGGAAGCCAGCTTGTAAATGGCCTTGGACCTGGGAAGCAGAGCTGTGTGCATGTGTGGAAGGAGACCAAGGCTCTCAGCAATTAATCCTGAGAAACACAGAGTCCCAAGGGAACAAGTTTACTCCTGTTTGGTTAGATAAGATGCCAAAGAAAAGTTGGAACACACAGGACAGCAGTGATAAAAATCAGAAAGACTTTACCTTATCAGAGTATTGCATTAGGGAGTAAATTGTGTTCACTGGCTCCTCCTTGGTGGGGAGCACCTGTAAAACACGCATCTTGCCCTGAGTGAGGGAACCCAGGCAAATCTCTTGCTACTGCCTCTGCCCATCAGCCCTCCCTGGTCCCACTTTTGCTAAGTGGTCTCCTCTCCCAGCTTCACATTTGGTTCCATCCAGCTGTGGAGAGGATCAGGATCAAGTTGGGGTGGGTATAGGTAGCAATTGGACAAGAACCTCAGAAGCCAAGAAGAACAGTCTGGTGGTTCAGACAGTCTTGCTTAGTCAGAATTTTAGCTTTCCATGGGCTCTACAAACCCAGCTGAACTATTGGTCCAAGTGCAGGGCTGGAATGACCAGGCAGACCTCAATTTCCCTTTCTCTCCTTGGAGACTTCAGGAGAGCAGGCTGGTAGAAGCACAGAGGAAGGTGATACCATGAGAAAGCCTGGTTCTGGGTGGAGGTGAGGGATGGGCAGGCAGGTAAAAGGAAGGTGGGAGGGCAGGCTGTGGGACAGAATGAATCAGCCCATGGAGAATAAACTGCTGCTGCAGCCAGACCAAGAAGTCGAGTTCAAGTGGAGCTCTCTCAGTTTTGTGCCCTTGAAATCCCCTTAGCAACTTGTTTACCGGTCAGTGGCCACATGAAAGTTCTCACCTCATGTCAGAGGCTCCCCTGGTATGAGTCCCCTATAGAAAGTGATCTACACTTAGTCCTGACATCTAACCTGAAGCCAGGCATGAGGTCTCAAGTCCGGGAGGCTGCCGGGGGGTGACACTTGGCCACTTTCTTGTCCCCATGGAAAGACTCAAAGGACCATTTCCCTGACATGGTATTTCTTGGTCGGATCCCACACCCCCAGCCTCTTGGTTGTGGCTGCTGCCCATGATTGTCTGCCCTGGGGGTGGTGGTGGAGACCTGTGAGTAGCACCACCTTACCTTGCATGGGGGGATCTCATCATAGATCCTGGACTCTGCTGGCTGGGTGTTTCTTGAAACTGTGATGTATGTGTATATTGTTTTCTTTGAAGAAGCATCTGAGTCATAAACAAGCATAGAACCACAGTACATGAAAATGTGGATGAATTTTTCGAGGTGATTTACTCTAATGTTCTCTTTTTTCAAATGAAGAAATGAAACCCCAAGAGGTTAAATGACTCCTGTCCTCTTGAGATGGATGTTTGAATCCTTGCTTGCCTCTTTCTTAAGGATGCCATGTGGTACAGGAGACACTTGGCTCAGGTCTCACCCAGAGCTCAGTGGGAATTCTTTTCAGTCCACATTAAGATAAAGAGATTCTCCCTGATCTCTGTGTGGGCACTGAAGTTAGCTTTTCCACACAGGGTCTTTCTTAGTGTCTCCAGCGTTTAGCATTGACTGCCTTATAGGGCTAAAATCTTTTCAAGCGAGGGTCTTAGTTTTTCAACTAGATCGATTCTCTCTAGTTACACACTGTGTTGGTTTCTTCTGGTACACATCTTTCTTTTACCACCTCAATGTTAGACATGTAGGAGGTACTCCACACACATTTGTTACTTGACTGATTGATTCAGAGTCAAACATTTGTTAAACTCTCTACCTGTCAAGCTCTGTGTGAGGAATTTAAGAATTCCTACTTTTAAGAATTCAGGGTTCACCTAGTGACTCAGATGATAAAGAATCTGCCCGCAATGTGGGAACTGTGCTGGGCTTAGTCATGTCTGACTCTTTGCGACCCCATGAACTGTAGCCTGCCAGGCTCCTGTGTCCTTGGAATTCTCCAGGCAAGAATACCGGAGTGGGTTGCCATGCCCTTGTCCGAGGGATCTTCCCAACCCAGGGATCGAACCCAAGTCTCCCACATTGCAAGCAGATTCTTTACCATCTGAGCCACCAGGGAAGTCCAAGAATACTGGAGTGGGTAGCTTATCCCTTCTCCAGGGGATTTTCCCAACCCCAGAATACAACTGGAATCTCCTGTATTTCAGGTGGATTCTTTACTAGCTGAGCTACAAGGGGAGACCAGGGTTCAGTCTCTGGTTTGGGAAGATCCCCTGGAGAAGGGAATGGCTACCCACTCTAGTATTCTAGCCTGAAGAATTCCATGGTCAGAAGAACCTGCTGGCTGCAGGCCACAGGATCGAAAAAAGTTGGACACAACTGAGCGACTAATGTTTTAAGAATTCATGGACTAATAGAGACATTTCTCTCATTGTACTGCTTTTCTTTGCTCCTAATGCAGAACATTTGAGGGTCAAGTTGAAAACAGATAGCCAGAATTCAGGGCCTTCATATTGCAAAGCAAGAACATATCTGCAGACAACAGATCTGGGCTGAGTGCTATTATTACAGGGATCTAGTGTTTCAGAGTTTAGTTCTGTCCCAGTCCCTGCCTCAGACGTGGTGAGTGAACCAGATTCAGTGCTCTCTCTTATTTCATTTACAGATGAAAAAATAGGCCTTCTTCTCTGCAACAAGGCTGTGAGGGATTGAGGACAAATGCCTCTTTGAGGAGCCCTGAAGATCACCTATGGCCTGAGGAGGCTGTGTGACTTCTCCCCATCAAGAGACTACTTGAGTTACAGTTCACATTACAAACTCTCTTCCCCCAGAATGCCTCCTTCTGTGCCAAGCCCAGGCGTATCAATTGAAAGGATAGTATCTAACACTGAGTACTCACAATGTACCAGGCACTGGGCCAAGTATTTTATATGTGTAATTCATTAAATCTGTTTAGTAAGTATATGCTGCACATCCTGGTTTTATGTGTATTTTACAACTGGGAAAACCAAGACAGTGATAAAATAATTGGTAGCAGATAAATGGTCAAGCTGGGACCTTCACCCCAGACTGTCTGCAAAGTACAAGCTTAGGCTTCATCACTCTGCTGTGAACTCATCTCCTGCAATTGTCATCCAGGGAAACTAGTGGTTGAGAACTTACCAGGGTTCTTACTGAACTTCTTCAAGAAGGAACCTGAGGAATCAGACCCAAAAGAGAGTCAGGAACATGGAATCAAAGGTAGAGCCTCTCTACATCCAGGGTTGCTATTATGATGGGTGGGAAAGGAAGATTTTGAGTGGACACAGAGGAAGAGGAGGGTGAACCCCCCTAGGGCCCAAGATCAGGTTTTCTGAGTTTAGAATGGTTACAATTACAGAATGATCCAGAGGGACCCAAAGGGATCTAGTGACAACTGGTACTTGTCCCTCAATGACATTTCAAAAGTCACAGTTTTGGTGGACTTGGAAGTTGGAGACTTAGTCCAAATCTTATTTCACGTGTGAGAACACTGAGTCAGAGAGGTAAATACATGTGCCCCATGGAGCACAGTTTGTTAATGGCAGTGCTAAACTTGAACCCAGGGGCTCTTTTTGACTTGAGGTGTCCAATTCTAATTTCTCCTACAGGAGACCTGGAGAAGGAAATGGCAACCCACTCCAGTATTCTTGCCAGGAGAGTTTCATGGACAGAGGAGCCTGGCAGGATACAGTCCATGGGATTGCAAAGAGCCAGACACGACTAAGCGATTAACAGTTACTTACTCACTTAAACTTGGACTCAAGTTCTGGACCCATGGCATCCTGCTGATCCCAGAAACATGTTTGGAAGACCATTCAGGGTAATGTAATACAGTAATTGAGGTCGTCTTTCTAGGAGATGGTAAGATGGGTCACTGAGGATTCTAGAAAGACTAATTCCCTGGAACAAAGGACATTTCCACCCCACCTTGGATAACTGACTTCAGTCCCAGGAAAAACGAAGGTACATTTCTACATTTTACCTTGTGAGAAAATCCTACCTTCTCTTCTCTTGCACAAAAGGAACAAAACCACTGAGGGCAGAATGATTATAAGCAGAGAAAGCACAGCCAGCCCACTCATCAATCCAGCGCGGCGAGTATGGGGGCTCATTGTGATGTCTGAAAACAGAAGATGCAATGAGACTTAACTCTCAGGAGATGGACTAGAGAGGTTAGGCAAGCTTGTCCACATTCAAGAGCACTATCCATACTAGGTGCCCTCCAGGGGGGTGCCAAATCTACAAGGAAAACTGTACTTCCCGCTATTAAAGTTCAAGGTCAGAAACTGAATCAGGCAGCTGAGTGGGAACTGCTTCAGAATACCCTGAAATGCCTGGCATCTCCCAAAAGGCTTTGGACTCTTTTCTGGGGCTTACTGGGAGGAGAAGCACCTTGGGTCCAGCCATGGCATAACGAAGGCACCTTCCTCTGGAGAACTGGGGCCAGATTCAGACCTTGCAGCAGGTCAGAGTGAATTTTGAGACTCCAGGAGAGATGGACAGAGATGCTTGGTTACCTGCACAGAGCTGCTGGGCAGAGATGGAGTCAGAATTGTTGCTGACGGGGTTCCATGCTGTACACGTGTAAGTCTCCTCTTGGTTGTCAGGGGTCCGGAAGATTTGAAGGACATTGCCCTCTTCCCCTCGTGGACTCCAACTATATGTCACATTCTTTTCTTCTTTATCCACAGAGCACGTCAGTGTGACGTTACAGGTGCTGTTCACAGATGTCATGAAACTCTGCGTAATTTTTGGCTTCCCAAGACGACCTGGGAGCAGATAACACATGAGCCAGTGCTAAGCCTGAGGGAGTCAACTATTAAATTTTCAGACATTTTCATGAGGTTTGTTAAAAACTTACAGTGAAATACATTTTATTAATAACAAAGCTAATAAATCCTCAAAACTCATCACTTTCTAATTTTTTTGGACAATTTACTCTTTTATTTGTTTTTTTGGCAGTGACATAAGGGATCTTAGTTTCCCAGCCAGGGATCAAACCCATGTCCCCTGTGGTAAAAGTGTGGAATCTTAACCATTAGACCAATAGGGAAGTACCAATGTACTCTTATCTATGCTCTAGGAGTTATTTATATCTATCATATTTATCCCTTGTAATGATGTAAAAAGTCTTCCCAACTCTGCATGACTTAAAATCAGCCATAGTGGAAGTATTTATATCAAAGGAATTGGCAAATGCTACAAACTAGGGCTTGATTTATTGCTTTCCTGATTGTCACTCCAGACTTAAGAAAGCAATGGAGGAAAGGGTTCTAAAGCAGATTAAACAAACAAACAAACAAAACTGAAGACTTTACATTGTGAATAGCACACAAAAGTTCAGAAATATTCCTGCAGAATTTTAGAACCATTATCCAGTTCAGCAAAGAAGTTGCTCATATCATTGATGAACAAATGAAGTTCCAATACATGTGTCTTTGCTGAATCACCTTTTTCTTATTAGTAAACTTAAAATATCAACCAATATTTATGTTGATTGTGTTTATCCATTTTCACATTGGTTCATTCATCAGTTGCAACCATATGTTGGCTAGGGATATAAATGCTCAACGAAAACCGGTAAAAGCATTCTGTGAGAACAACTGGCTATATGGAATTTACAATAAAGACAATTGTACATTATCACTTGTACAATTGTGTGCCACATCTCCTTTATGTCAATACAGCTTACAGTGTGTGTATACAGACACACACATCATTAAGAACTAGTTGAAAATTTATCAGCACCCCACTGTATAAAACAATCTTTAAACATTTTTGTTCAGCTCTGTTTTCTGGTGAATATGTGTTTTCTTTTTTCATTTATTTTGTTTTAAAGAGCCCATGATGAAAAGTTCAAACTTCTTTAAAAGTTAATTTCAAAAAATGTTTTTACTAAAGCAATTAAAAGGTAAATGATAAAAGTTTTAGGTGTAAAGGATTAAAAAAAACCAATTATATATAAGTTGATGCAATAACTAGATCTGGAACTGGAAGAAGTACAGGAAAGCTCCTTTGCCAGGAGATAAGAAAAGGACCATATTCAGAGTTTATAAGTTTAGTTCATTCTTGGCAAATCTGCTGTGATGTGGTTTGCCCCTCCACTATTGCCATGTGAGGGAGGGACTAGAGGAAGGAACTGGCACATAATTTTCTAATTAATGTGGAGTCTGTAAAAGCAATAAATTTGGCAGTGTAGAGATAGAAACCATTTGTTTGTACCTGTGAGGATTTACAAAATGGGAAGTAAGAGCTGTAAAGGCTTTGATTCCAACCTAATCAGAAACTCTGGTTTTAAGTCTCTTGTGCATGCTTGCACTCTTTGTGACCCTGTGGACTGTAGCCCAGAAGGTTTCTCTGTCCATGGGACTCTCCAGGCGAGGATATTGGAGTGGGTTGCCATGCTCTCTTCCAGGAAGAGTCTCTTAGAGGGGAACATTCCGTTAAGGTGGTGGATAGTGGTGAAAATAGGATTCCATCTCATTTTTCTCAACAGGCAAAGAGATGTTACTGTTAGGTAGTTAGAATAGGAAAAATAAGTCCAAAATGGTGGTGGCTAAGAGACAAAGAAAGGAAAAAGCCCACAAAAATGGAACAAAAGAAAATCTGAGGACCAGACTGAGAACCTCAGGTGAAACAAACAGCCTTCTGGGCTAGCCCAATTTACATAGGGCAGGCTCAGGGGGAGGAGACAAAACATACAAAAAGAGGAGCCAAGATTGAGCCTCTCTCCTTTTGGGTCAGCCTGTCCTCACACCTCGAGGGTGCACTATCTTTTGTTTGCCAGATAAAACTGAGCCATAACCGAGCTATAACACTTGTCCACCATTTCAAATCTTTGCTAGTGAGACAGAATCGAGGAAATTACACACTCCCCTGACGACATATCTGGTGCCATAACTTGGATGTAGCCTGGCTGAAACAACCTCAGGTCGCCCCCAGTGAGGCAGAGATCAAGCACAGCAGAAGCCCAGCTTGGCAAAAGCTCACGTGGTGGAAGCTGAATGCCACGGACACCCAGCCCAATGGAAGTAACAAGAAGCCTAGCATGCTGAAAACAGGGACAACAAAAACAAACTCAGCAGAAAAGTTCACACGGCTCAGTCTCAGGTTCCAGAAGACCTCCAGTTAAGATAAGAGGTCCTCGCCCCAGTGGCTGGAAGGACATATGACTAACAAATCTTAATTCCTTTACAATATCTAGTTTCTTGTTTCCTTGAACCCCCTGTGAACAGGTGAGCAGTAGTGGGTGCAGTTGAGGGACTCTGGCATGGGCTACTTCCCAGGGTGCCCTGAAGGCTCCACTATCTGCTATGCCTTAGTGGCTGCTGCCCAAATGGGTGAGGGTTATTCTGTCCTTAATCTTCTTTGTGCCAAGGATCAGGCCAATGAAAACTATGGGTACAAGTCAGGCATTTAGCAGTTTTTCTGACAGGCAATGAAGGGGGTTCCTCGGCACACTTTTCCCACTGCTTTTTCTCCCATTCTCAGGCTTCTGTCTCCATCTGTGACACTGTTTACAAAATATTGGGCAGACCATCATCTTTCCATCTCAAAAAGTTGTTTGAAAGTGTTTACCTAAGATTGGGACTCAAACCCACATGGCAGGACCTAATGAAGCTCAGGTTCTTGAAAAAATCAGTGAGAGACACAGTGATAGGTAAGAGGTAGAGTTGTTTGGATTCAGAGGGAAGCACAGGCCACAGAATGTGTGACATCACAGAGGGTAAATGTGTCGGCCATGAAATGTGTGGTTAGTTTTTGTGAGCTGGGTGATGTCATATGCTAATGGGTGGGAGGATCATTCCAACAATTGGGGAATCACCCACTCCTTGGTCTTTTGATAGTGCCTTGGAACTGTCATGGCGCCTCCGGGTGTGTCGCTTAGCTTGCAGATTGAGGATCAAGGTCTAGTTGAGTTTGATTTGTCTGCCATCTTGGACCCATTTGATTTTAATCAATTTATGTTATGCCTATACCCTTGGGCTATGTCATTTTTCAAAGTTGTGCCCTGGCCCCTTCCCTCCTGTTTCATGCTCTTTTCCTGAGCCCCTTACAGGCCCACAATGTTGCCTCTACAATCTTCTGGAGGGACAACCAGAAAATAGCTGGCCCTTGGGAGGGAAGTACTATATAATATCTAATTCGTCTAGATATTCAGACCTTCATCTTCCATGTTTCCTACAACGTGTGTATCAACAGCGCCTCTCAGTGAACCTGCTAGGGTGGATGACAGGTCCACAATGTCTGCTATGGCATCCCTTCAAGAGCAACTGGGCTTCCAGGGATAATGTTTGCCACTTTGGGAGTGAACCCTGCAAGCCGTTTGGGCCCAAACCCTTACCACCCTTCTCCTAAAGTTACAAACATAACCCTGGATCAAACCTCCACTCCACTTTTGTGGTCTGTTGCCTCTTATCAATTTGTTCTTAAGTCACTTACTAACTCCTGCAACCAGGACCCTGCCCCCTTGTAGGCAACATTTCTCCACCCAGCTTATTATTGAAATACTCTTAATGCCCCTAACAGGACCAGATAACCTTCTCCTTTGCCATTACTTCTGTTATTACCTAAAGTGGGCCTATGACAATGAAATGTTTACCATTGGAGATACCCTAAACTACTCTTATGGAAGACTAGGGGTAGAAATCAGTGACTTACATTCCCTTAGAGCAATGAGAGGATAAGGTTTAAGGCTGTTTCAACAGGTTCGCAGTCTCAGGGCACAGGCTTGGGATGCTTTACATCATGTTATCTATTCCCATCCATGGTGGAAAAAGCAGCAATGAGTTAACATTACAGCCCTTTAATCCTACCCAGCACTAGTCATGCTGGAGACCTTGGGGATGCCCAACTCCAACCTGGGGTCCCAGGAGGTTGACCTGCGTTGACCTGCCTAGGGATCTGGTCTTCGGGAGGTTGTCATGCCTCAACCTGCCTGGGGATTTGATCTCTAGGAGATTGTCAAGCCTCAAACTCCCTAGGGTTTGAGCACCTTGACCCTTGGCTCTCAGGTTGCAACAGTACTGGGTAGGCTAATCTTCAGAAAGACTCACCCCTAAGGAAGTCTACCCATAAAAATAGAAGAAGGTCTATTAGTTTCTTCTCCTTTTTTCTTTTCCTCCCTGTCATCATTGTCTTTCAGATGGGAAATAACCAATCAACTTCCTGACAGGTGCCCTTGAGATGCATCCTTGATAACTGAAAGTTGTTTGATTCTCTAAGAAAAAGTTGCTTAAAATTCATTTGTGCCACTGCGTGGCCACAGTATCCTCTGCGGAATAAGGAACACTGGCCTGAGGATGGGAGTTTAAACTACAATACCATCCTGCAGTTAGACTTATTCTACAAAAGACAAGGGAAATAGACAGAGATCCCCTATGTCCAAATTTTCTTCCATCTAAGAGATATGAAGGAACTCTGTCTTAAGTATGAGATTGTTGTATGCCCTAAAACTGAGAGGCAAATGGTGTTAGGCATCAGACAACCAAGAGAAGGAAGCCTCCCATGAAGGCTCACCTCCCATGGCTCCTGAGTTGCCTGGTGCTCTTTCCTAGTATCCAAATGTGCCCCCATATCTGGGAGCACCGCCTCCACAAAAGCCAACTCAAGTATGTCCCTTAGTTGAAACTGGAGGAGAATTTGGACCAACCTGGGTCCATAAGTTCTTCTCCCACTTAGAACTAAGACAGATAAAACAAGACCTGAGAAGCTATCCAGATGGCCCAGGCAAATATATAGATACATTCCAACACATTACCTTGGCCTT